GGAAAGATGGGAGATTTCAAATGAGTCTCTTACCTTTTTGTCGCTCAGGCCAGAAACCTGGTCCACATATTCCTCTTGGATCATGAAGGCAGCTAAGTTGGCAGTGTAGCTGGCCAGGAAGATGACAGCAAAGAAGGCCCACACTGACACCATGATCTTGGAGGTGGTCCCCTTTGGGTTCTGTACAGGTACGGAGTTGTTAAACACCAGACCCCAGAGTAACCAAATAGCTTTGCCGATGGTGAAAGAGGGGCCACCAGGCTCTGGCACGACAGAAAGACAAGGACGAAAGTTAAGCCATTGTGACTGGTTCTATTTAAACCTACAAATACACAGGGTGAGTCCCTGCTCAGAGCAGGAAACTCTTTCACTCTTTTATAGATGGCTTTTATAGATGGCTTTTAAATTTGAGAGTGTGTATCTCTCTTTTCCAGGGATTCTCAGGAGGGCTGCAGAGGGTTCCTTAGAAGAAAAACCAAAAGCCTGGGGTGTGTGTGGGATGGTCTTTTTTGAATTAACAGTCATGACTCCCCTCTGGAGGAGCCATCAACCTGCCCCATATACAAGACCCTATCAAGGTCACATCAAAACTGAATAACACAGGCTGCCTATGTCACTATGGTCGCACTTGAATCATTACTGTCAGTTTTTCCTAAATTTTATATTTGTATCTACCAATAATGCATTTTAACTTCCAAAAACATCACCAAGAATTGTGTAAGATTGTTTTCTACCGTTCACAAACCCTCTTCAAGTCTGTTTACACTGATGCTAGATGGCTTGGAATGCACTTTTTCCTGATTTTTCTTTAGCTTCTAGCACTTAGCACTCAATATTTCAAAGACAAACCTGACCCCACTCCAATGCCAACACTTCCCAGCTGGTTTCCTGCCGTAGAAGCTTGTGTGTAAAAGAATATCAGGAAGGCCAAGGGGGAAGTCATAGAATTCTGGCCTCGCTACATGCATCTAAGGGCAGAAAGGAAGCTGCTTTTGACTTTGATTTCCCCCGCTCCCCCAACCTTTGCACACACAGTGCTTGGGCTTCTGCCCATATATGTATTGTGACCTCATCGCAATCTCTATGCTGATGGTAAAATCTTGCCTGTTGTCTGAATCTCCATGTAGCCCCTCCACTGCAGAAATGAACATCTGCCTGCACAGTTTTACAACATATTTGCACAGGTCTTATGATGTAATCTGTGATCCTGATAGCATCTGCTCAGCCAAATAAATCATCAGGGACAACTCACGTTGAACCTGATATCTAACTGTGCACACACATCTGTGCGTGTGGACCTTATTTCATGCAACAGATGTGTAACTAAAAAGTTGTTTATAAATTAAAGTTTTGTAAATTGTAAAATGCTCTAAGGAGACTTGATATTTAAAGTGGTCCCATGTTGAATTCCTCTGTGAAGACAAACAGCCTTCGGTAAAATGAGTAATTGTAAGCCCTCACTCTGAGCTTTCTTTGCAAGTCTGGATTTTTGGCTCCTGTTATTTTTTCAGGGGAGAGAGGCAATGCACACTGACTTTAGTTCTTGACATTGCCGACCTAAGTATATACTCATGTGATTCCCAGATGTTCCACTTCTTTCTGATGCCACACAGGCTGGGATCTAGGTCATGGCTTCTGGATGAAGCACAGGTGGAAGGCCCCTGACTGTACCATGCAGTGGAGACACTCCAACTCCCATCTCAGAATACACAAACCAAATTAAAAGGTAGGTCTACACTTGGAAATACTTCAGTAAATTGGTGTTTCACAGCTTGTACTGTGGATCCAACAGAAGCATGAGGAAGATTTTATAAAATACTGCTGCCTGAAACCCTATCCTCAGAGATTCTTATTAAATTGGTGTAGGGTGGGGCTGGTTATTTTAACATGCAACCAAGATAGAGAAACACTATATTGAAACATACAGTGGTCTAAGCTCCACCCTAGACTTGGTGAATCAGCAAATGAGGTCCAAGCACCCGTGTCTTTTCGATACTCCCATAGATCATTCTTATGTGTAGCCAGGATTAAGAATCTTTCCTTTTGGAGGTATAATTCTAGGATAGAGCTCACATTCTGAAATGGAGAAGGCTCAGAGAAGGCAGAATATTTCTTAATCCTGGGGTTCTCAGGAAGTTTTAGAGGAGTTATTTACAAGGATCCCATGCCCCTCTTTAGAAATCATGTGAACTTTTAAAAACTGTCATAAATGCCTCAAACACATGGGCAGCCCTCACATCTCTGGGTCCACCTACCCAGGAAATTGGACCATACCCAATAACAGCTATGAGTGAGAATTGGTCTTCCTCATTTATTTTATTTCCAACACCCAACTTTTATACTCTCTGGCAAGGGGGTTAAGCCAGGAGCATATGCTTTGGAGATCTGGTACTTCAGTTGTGATCCTTTGGCACTGGGGAACTCTACTAGCCACAACCACCTGCAAATACCCTGGGGCATTCCATTTCTTCTTGTTCTTAACATGTGTGTACAATCTGCCTTGCTAGCGACATCTGTTCCAACAGACTGCCCACAGCCTAAGGTTATCAAAATAGTTTCCTATGACATGTTTATGCTATACCCATATCTACCAACAGTTTTTCCTCTCCTTAACTTGGGAGTGCAACTAGGCTTGGGGCCAGGCATAAAGCAGACCTACAGATTCAAACTAACATCTTAACTGGGGTATTTCTAAAGAGACACCAAGATGGTGACCTAGAAATGTTCACCTCAGGGTTCCTTTTCAGAAATGGATATGCTAGGGAAAATGCAGATAACAAATGAGGAGTCCAGAGATTTGAAAATAGGAGAAAAAAATTGGGGAAATGCAGCAGTTCCAGCCGGCCTTACCTCTGCCATCAGCGAGGCACCTGTTATAACCCACAGGGCTGAAGTACTCAAAGACAAAGACAGCCACGGCTGAGACGATGAGCAGCATCACAAACATCATCACCCATACGTCAGCACTGAATGGCTCTGGGGAAGGGAAAAAAGCAGTGCTCAGGGTTAAAACAGAGAGCAAAAGACTTCGAATTAATTCACATATTCATTTCATATTTTAGGGGGTGGGGAACAAACCACAGTGTGTTGTCTGCCTTCAGGAAGCCAGGGCCTACGCTAGATTGTACCTGAACCATTTCCTTAAAGGGCAAGGACTATCTTCCTTCAAATACATGAGAAGGACAGCTTCATGCCTGTGAGCCTTTTAGGTTGTAGAGGCAGTTTCTGCCAATATTGGACCAATATCTGGGTATTTCAGTAAATGGTGCAATTGGAAGAAGTACTAGCTATGAGGTGAGTATTGGACTGACTCAATTTGTGTTCTCATCTATATGGCCGCACCATGTAATAGAGGCCTGGAAATGCCTTCCCCAATGCTTCTGAGCCTTGCAGATACAGTCATTCTCAACAGACCTACCTACTATTTTAGAGTTGAATTTGTTCAGGAATAATTATGTACAATACATAACTAGCTCCCCTTTCCTCCTTGTATCACTTCTCTTAAACTTCCTAGCCTAGATTCACTTTTTCACCCTACTTTTATGTATTGTATGTTATCAGACATCATTAGGGTATGAGAATATAAGTCAATGTTAAAGAATCCTTCCGGCCGGGCGCGGTGGCTCACGCCTGTAATCCCAGCACTTTGGGAGGCCAAGATGGGCGGATCACGAGGTCAGGAGATCGAGACCATCCTGACTAACACGGTGAAACCCTGTCTCTACTAAAAATACAAAAATTAGCC